GACTATGCGCAGGTAAGTTTTCACCTGAAATCGTTTTACTTCCACCTGTTTCCTTTGAAGAGTTTGCACAATACAAAAACCTGTCGACTATTTGAGTCCAAGTTCCGAGACCAAGTACTACTTCTGGTCTGGTAGAGTTCATTGACGTGTAAATAGAACCTATAGGATATAGTGTTTGAAGTATTTCTGTCTTTAACGTTTGAAGCTCTGTTTTGTCAGCTTTTTTATCATATAAATCTTGAGCAGTGAATTTAACTTTGTTTTCATCCTCCATGACATAGACATTTCTACATCTAGTGTATTTCATCGTCGTTATGTCATCCTCCGATGTTAAACCTTGTGGAAAGTTAGGAGGTTTCCAATTTAATACATCCCCACCAGTTCCATCAGGTTCTTCAACCGTTCCTGCAATATTTTCTATACCAACAGTTGCGAAGAAATCGTGTGTATGTCCAACGTCACTTTTCTTGTTTAAGGTTTCTTGTAAGTTTGTAATATTTGCAATGGTATGTGTATGTCCAACGTCACTTTTCCTGTTTAAGGTTTCTTGTAAGTTTGTAATATTTGCAATGGTATGTATATGAGTCTTTTTAGAATATTCGTTTTCAGCTCTTGTCACTTCACTTGACATTTTATTGTCAACATATGTTTTGTCTGCTAGTTCAGGATGAGTATGTTTTTTGTTGCATATGTTGCATCTGCTCTGTCATGTTCTTCTTGAACTTTTTCAATGACATACTCTTTGTCAGCTTTGTTGTTAACATCTGCTTTCAAAAGAAGTTCATCTATAGGTTTCTCGTTTAAAGTTCTTTTTGTTGGATTTATACAAACAGTATGGTTCTTACTGTCTTGAAACAGAAACTCGTCTGTCATTGGGTTTATCGTCAGTTTTAAGTTTCCTTCTTTCAATGACTCAGATATCTTAGAATAGTTTGAAAAGTTTGTTGTGTTCTTATTTAGAGCTTGTACAATGAGTTGTCGGTTGTGTTGTATTTCTCTCATAGACGCTGTTTCTTTCGACATTTTTATTCTAGATAAAAAATGCTTTCAATAGAAAAAGAAAATTCAAGAGTTGCTACAACTAAACCATTAGATGAACTTTTTACGAATGTCGGTCAAAAGTTTGAGACAGAGACCGTAAAGCATGAAGGCTATCGTTTTGACTACCCACTAAGATGGTTAAGAGATCCATCCGTCACAAAAGCTGTTGGCTTTCGTAGAATGAAGTTCATTTCAGAAGCCATACATGGTTTCCCATTTACGGTCGCTTTTGAAATTCGATACTATAACAAAGAAAAACGTACGTATGAGAAATTTGTACAGGGAAAACTTTTACAAGTTAGTTTGCTTGTAAACTTAGAAACAACTCTTCAAGCTTTTCAAGAAAAAATAAACGATATCTATCTCGAATATGCAAAACAGTACAACATTGACGAAGGAGAGTACCATCTCGATATTTTATATGACAGGAAAAATGCAACTGTTAAAATCAATAGAATAGAAGACCTTGGAGAAGACGTTTATATTTCTACAAAATATAACAACTTGGCATGGTATAGATTTTTGAGGATGTTAAATCAGCCTGCAGAATATCCAGTACACCCGAACTTTTATGAAGTCGAAAACCCTAATGGAACATATGAAAATGTTTTCGACTCAGATGCTATTATAGTTCATGCTTCATTTTCTGGTGCACAAAACTCTTTTTTATGCTTGGCAAATGACTTTTACGAAAAACCTACAAAGCTATATGAACCACCGAGTGGAAGTATTTCAGACTTTCAAGTATGGTTTACAACAGATGGAAGAAAGAGAATAGTTCCATTATACCATGCGTTTTACTTAGAACTTAGTTT